GTGCGTGCCCAAGATCCTGAGAGGAGAATGGAGGAGAAGGGATTGCGGTGTGACCATCCCCCCTGGGGGTTGATTTCTCGCTTTCTGTTTCTATGTCTCTCTCTGTCTGTCTGGCAAGCGCACGCGCCCTATAGTGAAAATCTCTCCAAAAAAAAAAAAAATCACAGTAAAGTTCCTTCCTGTACTTAGGGTGTAAAAGGGGGCCCATCAGCTTTCTTAAAGTTGTAGTTTATGATGTGGCATTTTAGCATGAGTGACCCCACTTTGGTCTGGTCTGTTGGGGCCTAGAACAAGAGGGCCCCCTATAATTTCTATTTAACCTTTAACAATTTCTTCCTTCCACTTCCCATGTCATGTCTTTTCACTCAGCCAGAACCAGAGCTGGTCAGACTTCTTCACCTGTGGACTAAACACACCTTCCTTCCTGAAGGGGCTGAGCCCTCAACAGTCACGCCTCTGTCTGGTTACTGTGGATTTCCACTGACCTATACACCGGACTCAGAAGTTCAAAGAGGCAGTACATTGGTTAGCTGGAGTCATACACCTGGGCAAAGCTTTCTGCAATTCATCCGCCTCTGGAATGCTCTTCATTCACACCCTACCCTGCTACTTAGGGATTACTCCGGAAGTTGTTCTCTACTTTCCACATGCTACTAACAGAAAATGGAAATTCAGGCCCTTTTCTCAATTTCCTAAATTGACACAGCACCAGTTTCTCACAGATAACAGAAATTTACTGAGATTTGGAAATGTCTGCTTCATCAATTCCATGGTAAAATGTATAAAAGCACGATATTGAATTTCCTCTCCTTTTAAAACTCCACCAGCCCTCTACCCTCTGGAAATTTTTGAAAGACCAACATTTTTGGTCAGATGGTCCAGACTCTCCATAACAGATCTGGGGCCTACCCTCAACCTCTTGGTCCCTCCATCTACACAAATTTAAGAGGTATAAAATAGCCCTCCCTTCGTTCTGCAGAAAAATTCAGTCCTAAGTCCCTTTTATATGCAAATAATATATAAATCCCATGAAATAGTCTTTACTACCAAAAGAACATAACTTCC